ACTCTCATTCCTACTTTAAGAATTTGTTGTTTTTGTCTTTAATTTTTGAATCCACTTTATAATTTTAAGGTATTTTTCATCCAAAATTTTTAGAAATTTGGTTAACAAACATTTCTCTTTTTTTATTCATTCTCCAATTGATGGTTGCATGATTTATTATAGTGATGCTTTGTTTTTAATTATAATAAATTCATTTATTTCTAATTTTTGTTAAGAATATATCAATAAAAAAGACTACAAGTAAACCTATTTGCAAGCAAAAAAAAAAAAATTAAAAGAAAATGAATTAGTATCATAGAATATACTCTTGAAGGCTTAAATCTTCAACACTAATTTTCACCTTCCCTAACTAAATTTCCTTACTTTGTCCCTACCTATGATATTGAGTATATATATTCATTTAATAGCATATGAAAGTTGTATAGAAAAATTATACAAAAAAATTATCCTACATCATTGCCAAGGGAAAATATTAGTGAATCAGAACAAAATAATAATTCAAAAGAAATTAACAAAGTGGTCACGTTTGCTTTTAAAAGAATCCATTAATTCAAGATCTAGGTACCCAGGTTTAAAGAAAAAAACATGCAAGAGACTAAGACAAAGTACATGTGATTCCATATTTGGGTTCCAATCTTCCATTCCAATCTTCCGGGATCAACATATAATATTAATTCACCCCTTTTAGAGATGCTAATTGTTGTCCATTGACTGCTTGTCAGTCCAAGGTGATGTGTGTGATGCAACCTTAGTCCTTGAGATTTTAGGGTGGCTTTGGATACCAAAAGGTTAAATGCTAATTTTAGTTCCTCAACTTTAAGGTTTGTATAATTTTCATCCCTCATCTTTTTATGCATTTTTTTAGTCCCTTGATTATGAAAAATGCACATTTTTAATTTTTCTATCAGTTAGGTTGTTAAATTTGTTTAAATATGTACATTTTTAATCTTTCAACACATTTTTAGTTCCTCAACTTAAAGTTGAAGGACTAAAAAGTTAAGGGGCTAAAAATGTGCATATATTAGAAATTGAGGGACTAAAAATATGCCAATTCAGAAAAATTTAACGAATTAACTAATGGAAGGACTAAAAAATGCATTTATTATAGTTAAGGGACCAAAAAAGTGAATAAAATAGTTAAGAGAAAATTGTGCAAAATCTTAAAGTTGAAAGACCAAAATTGACATTTAACCAACCTAAAAATGTTTGCATTACTTTTTTATAATGCTTTTTTTATTTAGGCAACTATCCACGCAAATGCCTTTATTCGATCTTTACACATCATGAAAACCAAGGTTTTTATCAATTTCTTTAAAATGAGTTACAGGAGGAAAAAAATAGTTAACAGTTAGGTGTTGTTTGGTATAACAATTTAAATTTAGTGGTTAGAGATTTTGTTTAAATTGTAACATAATTGTGTTTGGTAGTTTTTTTTTTCAACAACTACTAAGTATTTGGTGTTTGATAAATTTTTTTGTTTAGCAATTTGATAAAAGTGATTAGCAGTTAAAGTCCAATCTACTAACAAATTGAAAAAATTCCCTAAAATAATTTTTCACAACAAACTATTAGTATATTAGAATTTTTAAATTGTTATGACGAAATTTCCCATAAAATAATTATGTATATAAAATACAATCATGGCTGCTCCTCTCCCATTTTTATATTAACTTTTTTCCTTATTCAATTTTAATGTTAAATTGTTCCTAAAAATAAAACTAACAATTGATTTAAGATGAATTTTAACATTTATGACAAAAAACATAGATTTATTTAATAATTTAAAACTAAGGAGATTAGTGCTTATTAATTGAATATGTAAAAACTTAGGTGAAAAAACACTTTAAAACTATATTATTT